GGCGAGCTGATTCTTGGCTCCAGAGCAGGGTTGGCGACTTGGGGACGGGTGTACGTATCGGCTTGAACCTGGGCGGCGATGCTCTGGGCAGCTTGTGCGTCGGCTTGGGCTTGCGCTAGGTTGGCCTGCAAGTTGGCGTTTTGGCTTTGCAAGGCGGCGATGGCTTGGCACATATCGTTCCATTGCTTGGCGGTGAAAGGTACGGATTCGGGTTGGGACATGGCGAAAAAGGTTTGTCGGATGCAGGGCTGGACAGGTTCTGAACTTCGCAGTGTTGGAGCAGATCAAACTGTTATGATCTCGACAATGGGGGCGGAAGCGAAGTAGAGAAGACAGGGCGAGTGTGACAGGCGACAAGAGATTGTATTGGCGAAACAATAAACAAGGACTAGAACAGGAGATGAGAAGAACTGGTGTTGATCTGCTGGGGAGGAAGGGAATGGACGAAGAGAGGCCGGCTATTTATAGATAGGCAACCCAGCAGATCAGAGAACAACAACAACAACAGGGGACTGGGGGGCGCCAGCTATGCTCCTAGAGCGTGCGTGGCGAGCGTAGAGAGCATTGCTACAGCTGCTGGCTATGGGGAAGCAGTGGGGGGTGTGGAGAAGCCAAGGGGGGGATTGGCGAAATGAGAGGAGAGAGGAGGAGTGGCGATATTGCAAGAGGATTGGCGAAATGAGAGGAGAGAGGGGGAGTGGCATTGACATTGGCATTGACACTGACATTGACACTGACATTGACATTGACATTGGCGTTTGACATTTGGCGGTTGACATTGGCGGCTGTCAGTAGGTAAGCTTATGGTATGGGCGCGTTGTCCATAACAATGCTGGATGAACTCAAAGAAGCCGGGATTTCGCTAGTCCGGACACAGCCGTACTCCTCCCAACAAAATGGTATTGCGGAACGGTTCAATCGAACAGTTATGGATCAAGTTCGCACCATAATGTGGATGAGTAACGTGCCAGAAAACCTTTGGAATGAATTTGCCGTTTTGGTGAATTACCTCAGACAAAGGACACCGGCCAGTGCTACTGGCACAACTCCATACCACAAATGGTATGGGAAATCAGCGGATATATTGACTTTGCGGACACCGTTGAGTGAGGCGTTCCTCCACATCCCTAAACAGAAGAGGAGAAGTAAACTTTCGCCTGGGCACTAGGTCCGTTGCGTTTACTTGGGTATCATGCCACTAAACATGACACTTATCGTCTCATTGATGAAGATATGCTCGAGATATTTGAGTCTCAGGATGTAACCTTCAACAAAGAAAACAGTCGTAGCGAATCCGTCGCTCCTGGATCAGAAGACCCTGCAGAATACGCCATTGAGAAAATACTCTTATCGAGTGGAGATGGAGATTTGGGGGAGAAGGAGTACCTCGTCAAGTGGGAAGGTTTTGACGACCCCACATGGAACCCTACGAATTTGTAAAAGACGCAGTAGCGTTATCTGAGTTTTTGGGGGCCGAAGACGACGGTGGTCAGTACACAGGAGCGGAACTCCTGGTAGCTACGGTGGACACAGATAAACCCACCACACTGCAAGCCGCTATGAAATCCCCATACTCACGCGAATGGCAAGCCGCTATGGAAGAAGAACTTGCCTCTCACGCAAAGAACGGAACTTGGGAATCGTCTGATCAGAAAAACACTGGACACACAGTAGATTCCAAATGGGTCTTTAAAGTAAAGCGCAATCCTGACAATTCTATCAAGCAGTTCAAGGCACGTTTAGTAGCCAGAGGATTTACGCAAAGAGAGGGAATAGATTACCACCAAACGTTTGCGCCCGTCGTGAAGTTTAATACGTTGCGGATGTTGTTAGCCATCGCAGCGTCACACGACTTGGAGATCCATCAGATGGATGTAAAGGCCGCATTCCTGAATGGGAACCTTGACACCGTAAAATACCTTCGCCTACCAGACGGGACAACAGTGAAACTCAAACGTTCCCTATACGGGCTGAAACAGTCACCTCAGTTATGGAATAAGGTGTTGGACGCTTACCTCCGAGAAAAAGGCTTCAACGTTTCCAAACCAGACTATGCTCTTTACATAAAGCGCATTGGCCGAGGTTTTATCATCATTGCCGTCTACGTTGATGATCTGACAATTCTTTCAACGAGCAAAGGGGAAATCTAACTTTTCCGAAACAACTGTGTCGAGAATCATGTATGATTCTTTGTTGGCCAGCCATATCTGCTTCGGTTCGATACGTTTCTTGGGAAATTTGTGCTTTTCGACGAATGTCTTGTCAAGGAATAACCCAGTAGCGCCGCTATCAAAAAGAACACGAGTAAACTTGTTTCCGATGCGACAATGAGAGACCCTGAGTCCAGCAGACAGTGGTTCGAAGGCAGGTTTATTGGTAGGATCGTATGTGGTAGGCCGAGCAGAGCTAACGAGGGGCTCTATCGACCTTGGAAAAAACTCGAAGCTTGATTTTTAGTAGTATTCGTAGTATTCGCTGAGTTGACGGCGTCATCAAGAATTTCCGTAATGCATGACCCAGCATCAACCTGATTGGCTGAACCTTGTTGTTGATTAGGTTGGCAACTGGGCTGCGGAGTTTGAGCGCCACAACCGCACTGTCGAAGACCACCGCGTCGCTTCTGGGTTTGCGAGCCTTGCTGTCAATTTTTCGGGATTTGACCAGCATTCAACTCTCCAATGTCCCATTTTGTTACAAAGGGGACAGGGAGTCGTTGGACGTTGACGAGGACCGTGAGTAGCTTGCCAGTGTCCACGTCGGCGAAAGGGCTGTTGACGTTGGTAGGGAACTTGACCTGTAGTGATACGACTCACTCCAGGGGGATAGTATGACGTACCAAGGGCATTGAGCCCAAAGGTCATATCATCTAAGTCTTGCTCAAATTCCGTAATTCGAGGATTGGTGTAAGGGGCGTATCGTCCACCACGACCACCGCCACGACTACCTCGACCGCAACTGGCTCCACGGCCGTCACGAGAACTTGTTGCCAAGGACATCGGACGAGGTGTATTGGCTTGGTAGCCGTCAGTGAACCCATGAGCCACATGAGCACGACGCGCTGCAGTGATAGCTTGATCGAGCGTGATAGGGGTGTTGATGTTGGTAGTGCTCGTGACTTCGAAGGTCGTAACGGCTTCAGCGAGATAATGACTGATTACTGTATTCTTGAGCAGACCGGCCTTGAAGTATCGAATCTGATCGATAAGGGGAGTGGTGCCTTGAGTGTTATCGAGACAATGAGCGGCTTCGAGCTCATTATTGGTGTCTTGAAACTCCTTGATATATTTTTCGAGAGAGTCACCAAGCTTGAGGCCAGAAAGCTTGAGCTCAATAGTATTACGCAAGTTGCGTGGATAAAAGTGAGCGACAAGAGCCGTTTGAAAAGCTGTCCAACTCACGGGAGCGCCGGCGGCGTAAGTTGTATTGTACCACTCAAGAGCAGTACCCTTGAGGTAGGTAGTGAGCGTAGGAGCGTACTCTGCCATATTAAAGGCTATGGCAGTGGCAGTTCCAGTACCGTCTGGTCCAGCTTGTACAGCCGGGACAGTGAGAGACTCGAGGGAGTTGATGTGAGACGTAACAAACTCTTCGATCTCTTTGGCAGCTTTGGCGCGATCGTATTCGACAAGCTTGTTCTTGCGAGCGTCCATAAGAAGTCTGAAACGCTCGGCTTGTTGGGTGTCTTGCGTAACAGCACGCCCCCAAGAAGCGAAAGCAGCTGCGACAGCCGCAACGATAGCTTGAGTTTGGTGGTCCATTCTTGCTTGTGAACGAGTGTAAGGGCGACGTCCGGTAGAGGGGCGACGTTGACGAGGAATCTCTTGGTGATGCTAGCGGTAGGTGGTGCTACCATGTAACGTCAGAGGAAACATAGACGATATTGGGCCCTTCCGAGAGGGCTGAGAGCAGTGTATTGTAGTGAAGAAAAAAGTAAGAAGCTCTTCGCAGCGGCCGCTCGACTGACCGCTTTATATATGGGCTGCCAGTGGGGCTTGCGTGGCTTCAATGAGGCTTGGCGCCTTATGTAATGTATCACCGAGAGCTCGGGTGGCCAGCCCGGGTCTCGGATGAAGTAGAAGTAAAGAGGTATAATATGAAATACAAGTGAAGATGAGATATCCCCAACAATTAGCTCTTGTCAAGATGTTGGGCCAATCGACCATATCTCATCGGTCGTTACTTCCAATGTTTTAGCGATCACAAGGCACTCGAATTCATTCAAACGCAACCCCATTTGAGCAGAAGACAAGCCAATTGGGTGGAGAAGCTACAAGAGTATGATTTTGACATCCAGTATTTCCCTGGACAATGGAATCATATTGCCGACATGCTCTCCCGCAATCCAATCTATGCGCCTCGGTGTGTAGATTGTCAACGACGCCTCAACATGCATACGCAGATCAGCAACATGCTTGTCAACGAACCTTCCTCCAATGCTACGACAGAGGATCCACAAAATTCCCCTACCTGCTCAGAAGAAGAATGGAAAAAAGCGCTATGCAAAGATCCATATTCGGATTATCTCGATGAAATTTCTCGAAAGCCTCAACATGCTAATCATCAGTACACCCATGAGTGGTGCGCACGCATGAGGCTCTAGCGCTGATATAACCTTCTTTCCCATGCAGCCCTTCTCACTGACGGAGGAATTCACCGCTGTCTACTGTCTGCATTCATTGACACCCGATACAATCGAGATTCGGGATGCGCAATCCAAGAAGTTGTCCGGTCGTGTGTACGATTTGCCGTCAATCACTCTCAAAGGAGGCCGCCGAATGATCGCCGAAAATAAGCTGGCCAATGTTGTTTACAAGTTTGGGACAGCTAATCCCGGTGCTCTTCCGCGCAACATCTACCCGGTGAGTGAACAAACAACGATGAAAATTGCAACTTTCCGATGTTGACAATCGTAATGGGCAATGCCCAGAAAGTGGGGTGCACGTGGAGCCACGTGACCCATTTGTGTTGCTGGCACGGCCGTAGTATCTAAAGGCCTTCAAGTTCGTTCTTTTCTTTCCTCCTCACTGGAAAAGCAACGCAGATAGCAATTCAATCAGCTACCCACCCTCCCTTGTTTGCGATGGATGTATGTATATGCGGTGTTGCTAATATATGCGTGCGCGGTTTTGCCCGCGAAGCCGTTCCGTCGGGAGCCACCTATTGGGGTGGTCACCAGGCGGAACGGCAAACCCCAGCCATGGATTGTAAATTTCCTTCCCTCAGGCGTGGTTGATGAATCTTACCAAGCCAAATGAACCCTATATCATCGATATGGCGACCACCGAAATCTACCGCGATCGCGAGCGTGGAATACCCCGATACTTGCAATGTAAGAAAGTAGCTTGAAAGCTAATAGCTCTTTCCGGCCCGGAACTAACGTCTCGAATCATCTTGATTTTTTGAAATACCCTCAGTCCATCGCGAGATCGGGCTCAAACCAGACTTCAAGACCTTCGCGGACATCAACCCGGACAAGAAGGTCCAAGCCCTCCTGCAGTCCGTTTACCGAGTTCCCGAAGACGTCGACCTCCTCGTCGGCACACTGGCAGAGGAGCCGAGACCAGACGGTTACGGGTTCGGTGACACGGCGTTCCACATCTTCATCCTCATGGCTTCCCGGCGATTGTTCACGGATCGTTTCTTGACTGACGACTACAAACCCGAGATATACACCGCGGAGGGTATCAAGTACATCGAGACACAGGGCAACTTCAAGGGGTTGATCTCACGGCACTTCCCAGAGCTGGCCTCTTCTGTGAACTCCGTCGACAACCCTTTCAAGCCGTGGAAGCTTAGTTCTTGGACGGAGACTTCCGCGGAGTAGTATAGCAGATTTCTTGACCTTTTGACCGATTTGCGGGTCGCATAGCACATTTCTAGTACCCTGGCTATAAACATATGACTGGCATTGTGAAACTGATTACCTAGCACTGTGTCCATCATATTGTGTTCCCTTTTTGAGATGTCTTCCCAGTGAGCGACGCGCGGATCTGCCGGCGAGAGTCGCGCAATGAGTTCTTCGCAGCTTTCGGCAGGGAATCAGCATTGGCCTACCACCCACCCAACCCCGCCTACTTCAACGTCAAGAGTCTTAGCGAGCCTCTCAAAGTGCTTGCACTCCCCCACCAACCGGCCGTCGGTCCGTATGTTCAATGGGACCCCTTTCTACCGTGCAGCATACGTTGCTTTCGACCTTCTCGACCTGCTACACAAAGAGGATGACCTCAGACCGCTTCACTACACAGTGTGCGGCAACAAGGGAGGCAGAAAGTATAAGCGGGAGCTCATCAAGGCCATTGTTGAAGAGGAGGATAACGTGAAGGCTTTGTCGAGAGAAACAGGTCCGGACGGACGACCTCAACCATGTGGTCGAACGGTACACTGGACGCAAAAAGGGAAATCAAGCAGAAGCCCAAAGGGCCTTTTGCGCGCTGTTTGGTATGCGGGGTCCTTTTACCACTTTAGGAGTCGCTCTAATCGCTATATGAATTCCTTATTTATATGATATGCAGAAAAGTCAGGGTTCAAAGGTCCCCGTTTGCAAGACAAGTATGAGTTCCCGTCCGTGTCGGACATCGAAAGAGCGAGTTCTGCTATCCCGACGAAAGCATTCTTGATAAAGGCTTTTCCCAATGGAAGACCTTCGAGGCTTTTGCCGCGATCCCTCTGTTGAGGACGCTCGAGTGGCCGATACCTTGATAGCGGACAAGTTCAGCATGAAGGAGTTTATGTTGCCTGATCTCGTTCGCGGGTGTATGCTGTTGGAGATTCCGTTCGACCGAGACATGGCCCGACACCGGGAATGGTCCCACGACGAGCTTTGAAGAGAGAATAGAGGATGCGCTGCGAGTTGTCGTTATGGAAAGGGGGTTTTCCACGCCATACGCAGGTGGCAAAAAAGAAGGTCGGTTTTTCCTTGTTTTTTCCGGACACTTATCCTCGCGAAACTAAATCTCATTGTAGGACCCCGTCGAATGCATAGACTTGACGTTTGAAGATATAGGTGTGTGATGAAAAAACTGTTATGCGAAGAAATAGGAGCGGTTGCTCACAAGTTCTCTCCAGCCGGTGGGAAAAGGAAGCGGACAGCGGGCGATAATGAGAGTAAAGTTTTGAGAGTTTTCCTCAGCAAACTCACCAATGGGTTACGGTTGGGGATGGACGAAGAGAAGAAGTCGAAACAAGTAAAAAAACAGAGCAAGAAACAAGACGGAGGCTTCTGCGTACGTTTACGAATCCGGAGATTTGTTGCGCCGCTTGTCGATTCCCGACACAGGACTAAATCTTCCTATAGACTACAGCTCAGTTTCGGCGCCGGTTGACGAAAGCCGGCCTCCGACTGTTACCAGACCAAGACGTCTTACACATCATTGCATCATCAAATGGGGGTGCAGACCACGTCGACAACTACCATTGGCTCGGCAACCGGGTTCTCGACATTCAGATGGGAAATAAGACCGATCACATCTATTGCTATCTTGCCGGGCAAGTGATGGCGCGGGCGGCGGTCAAGATCTCGAAGAAGCACGGAAAACAGGACAGGCATGAAGTACCAAGGGGACGACGCCGATAAACTTCATATAAAAGGTGAAGAGGTTTTCCGAAGAGCTGCTGCCGACGCCAGAGATAAAAAGCGGCAAAATCTCGGTGCCGCTTGAGTCGAGCAGAGGGTAGAGGGGCTCATCGCCGAGCAAAGGAGCCATCCTTCCCTTGGAACACTGTTCTGCTGTTACCTTGGACTCATATGCAAGATTCCGTTTCTTGGATTAATGTAGCGTTAGATCTTAGGAGTGGCATAATGAATATGCCGGACGAAAACTGCAGAGACTTACCTTCCGTCTCCGGCTTTTATGTAGTTCGCGCTTGTTGATTTCGTTCCGCGCGGATGTCACGCAGCGCAGCGGCAACGGTTAACTTCCAGTAGAAGACCGTGCGCATGCATAGCATCACCGCACCGCACCTTACTGCACATGTACATAGTGGGAATGTAAGATCGGCTCAATAATGCATACAAAGCACAAATCCTGATGGGAGTCGTCTTTGCAACCTAGTACGTGACGCCATTCGCTTCTTTTTCAACGTTCAGTAGAACCATCCCATTCGATGACCCGAGCCGGATACTGCAGATCCAGTTCCGAACCGCAGGCGTTGCCCGTCTTTGAGCTGATCGGCATTCTTGTTCATAGAGTAGGTGACCGAATGGTGAGAAAGGACTCGGACGGACTTTGGATGATGAGAGAGGCGACGTTTGAGTCCCTCCCCGGTTCCCAACGCGTGATTCATGTCATGACAAAGACGCGTCAAGGCCGTTGTGCATCCATCATCATTGTACCAGGTCTCCCGAAGTCCACAATCCACAACCCGGCGGAACTATCTATCTTGAGCGTTTCCGTGATGCATCTCCTGCGTTTCTCCTGTCTCGCTGTTCTAATGCCTCCTGCTTCGTTTTGAGGAACATGAAAGGTGGAACCGCCGGATATTAAAACGAACCGACTTCCGCCCCCGTTTGGCGCCAGCGGTGGCTCGAGTTCAATCGTTGTCATCTCGAGAGCGCGTGCTGGTGGCAGCGCTTGAATGAGATGGATTGGATGGCCTCGACTCCTATGATTCATTTCTGTTCAGAAATGTTTGTAGATTCACGTTCTTTTTTGGTTTTCATTGTTCTTGGGCCTGCTATAGACGATTTGTGTAGAAGCAATTGGATTAAGATGGCGTAGTATTTACCTACATATCCTCAGTTATGTTATCAAATAACAAACTCGGCTAGTGAACAAGAGTAGTATCTACAGCAGATGCAATTTCAGATTTGTTGTAATGAACAGCAAACGCAACCTACGCTACGAGCTACACTACAAGATAACACAATTAACCTTAACCCGCGGCAGCAAGGGGGGTATTGGATGTCTAACACTCTCAACCCTCTCAACCACAACCCCAACAACAGCTAACAGCCCCAAACACACCACCGCGACCAGCAACCCGCCCATGAAATCCACGATCTGCTGATCTCGCCATATCAACAGGGACATCTCCCACACGGTGCGGCCGAGGATCCAGTACTGCACTGCAAAGTAAAGGAGGTAGACGCCCACAATGCTTGTGGTCAAGACGTCGAAGGCACGGTGTAATCGCGGCCGAAGCCACAGCACCGCCACATGTGCCTTGACTTTGGGCCAGATCAGTGCGTTCCTGCATTGTCGGTGGTTGCGTTTTGAGTCGTGGTGCAGGAAGAGGGCGGAGGCGATTGTGGCACCTGTTGCGAGGAGTTTGCCGTAGTGGGTGCGTATGAAATCGTAGAGGGGTTCGAGGGACTCGGGCATTGGGCGCGGCGGTGGATGATGCGGCGGCGGAGGTTCTCGATGATGGCGCCTGATGTAGCATCTCTGACCTGCTTTGAAGTGGCTTCCCGGTTGTACTTCACATCGAGTATCAGAGATTGCGGATCGTCCGAGCGTGGTAGGATTCTGCGCGCGGTTTCCAGAGCTGGTGCGAGTGCACTTTTGACGAGTGTGTCTATTTCTTTCCTCAAGGCCGACTTGGAGATCATGCACAAGTCTTCGTCGCTGGCTAGGAGGGTGCGCAGGGAACGAATGATGACCGTGGTAGCAGGGCATCCTAGGGTCGCTACGTGACTCCGTGCCCAATCCACATATCTGACAAGACGCACAAAAGTGTCAGCCATCGGAAGGCGAGTGCGTCCTTAACAGTTCTTGCGCGCAAAGTTCTTTACCTTTCGATGTACAGACTCTTCTTATCAGCAAGCTGTTTCCCCAACAGCACAACACCAGCGCTCTGCTCCGGTTCCTGCCCCACTCTCGCCGCCAAAATCCGCATCGCTTCCGATATCCTCTTCACCCTGCTGTCCAGGTTATCGATAAAAGCATCGTACGTGATGGTTCGCGGATCCGGTGGAAGGAGCTGCGAGACCTGGCAGTCGAATATTTCCAGCAGGGGTTGGCGTGATGACCTCAACTTTTGGCACGGGAGTTGTGCCGAGTTTACCATCAGTGACTCGGAGGGTCTCATCATGAACAAGGCTAACAGTTGCCAGCCCGGCTTCGGTCTTCGATTCCAGCGGCTCGGTGGCCTCAACTCAATTTACCTCGAAAAGGTCATTTTCATTCGAGACAGTTTGAAAGCCTGCCTTCTGGAAACCAGTGATGCTGGCGTCCCCGCTGAAAGCCTTCATATCGCCACTAACCAGCGGCGATTGAAGATGCGCATCCTCCAAGTACCGGAGCCCGGAGCTGTTTCTCGAATTGATCCCCGCCATGATTCTCGCGAGTAGATCTTGTTACTCGTAAGCAACATTCCCTAAGCTAGCCGACAACGTTTCGTGGGGCGCTCAGGTACCGGTTCAGCCGACTTCCTAGGCCGTCTGCGCAAGATGGGTTCGACCAAAGGGCCGCTTGAAGCGACGGCAGGAATGCCGATGTCAGCTTCCAGCTCTTCAGTTTCGCAAGCGGACGAATCGCGGCTCCAACGGCTACCCTGGGTTGTTTGGGCAGTGGGGCCGGTGGCGCTATGACTCCGGTCGTAGGTATCTCAGCCTCCAGGTCTCGCCCTGAACGGCGGGTCGGGGCTTGGCCTATGGCTTCTACCGGGCGGAGGACAACGTCCTCCACATCCTCCTCTATTCTAGCACATTTGCGAACTCATAACGCCTCGGGCGACCTTTTAGCCTTGCGCTTAGTCCCTCTCGGGACCTCCACCGTCAGATCCACAGCTTTCGGAAGAGTGGGAAAGTCAGGAGGAGTCGGTTGGGGAACAGGCACTTTTGGAGGATCATCGTCCCTGCCGACGGCTGCTAACCTCCTCCTTGCCCCTATGTCGTCCCATATAACTCTCGCCTTCTTCTTGTCTTGAGCGGTGTACAAAGTGCTGCTGCCGGCTCGCTTCTTTCCCTGGTTGAAGACTGGCACGGGAGGTGGCTCGTACTTTCGGAACTCGGCGTGTGGCGTAGGAGCTGGAACGGAGACGAAGGTTGCGTTCTGATCTAGTATGTCAAAGATCTCATTTCTCTGGCCAGTCCGATCGCTTAGGACCACCGCGTCACGGGGGCTCACAGGTTGAGAAGGCTGCGGTGAGGGCGTGGTGTCAACATACACCTCCATGGGAACTTCAGCCGTTCGGCCAGGGAACGTTCCGGGCATAACATAGTCTCCTTTCGGCGCGGGAACTTGGGCGAGCGGTCAACAACTCCGGTCGCGACGCCGACTCGATGCGTGCCGTCCATTGGATCTACGCGGATCTCCATCTCTCGCGTCTGAATAACAGGATTGACATTTTTGGTGTTCAGATTTAGCTTCTCCTCGGGAACCTCCTTCCCCCCACTGGGAGCCTGGAACTGAAGGCCAGTTTGAGCCGTAACTTCAGCGGGGTAGTTGTACACGTAACCTGTCTGATCAGGGATCGGCAACCCGCTTGTAGAGGTAGAGGTACCAACGGAGATCGCGGTCCCCGCTCGCCTCGAAGGCGTGATGCGATCCAGGAAACGTTCGCGTTCACGGTAATCCTTCTCTGCTTTGAGGAACTCCTGGGCATCTTTGTAGGCTTTCGATTGAAGCCTGGCTGCATTGAAGCTTCAACGCTTCAACGGAGGAGATGACCGTCTCATGTTTTGGAGCGGTGTAGTTCTGTTTAGTAGCGAGGTCCTTCCGGTGGATGTTCCTGTTCCACGCGTACTTCACATTGGGACACCGAACGCGTCGAGATGACCGTAGTCAAGCGCCTGGCCAATCTGATGGCGTTGGAGGTTCGTAATCGGCTTGGGCCGATTGTAACCTTGGGCTTCGAGAGGGTTTGCCCTGTAGATGGCCGCCATTCTCGCACTTTCTAAAGCGATGAGAAAAAATTCTATCCATCATGCTAAGACAGCGAAACCCTCGATGCCCAGTTTCCTTCAGAACGTCAAGACTAAAGCCCGTCATCTGTTCACGAACGCGCCGTCGTATCTGAACAAGGCGAGAGGGTTCGCTACCCAAGTCGTGATGTCGGGGATATCTCATCTTCACTTGTATTTCATATATTATATCTCTTTACTTCTACTTGATCCAAGACCCAGGCTGGCCACCCGAGCTCTCGGTGATACATGACATAAGGCGCCAAGCCTCACTGAAGCCACGCAAGCCCCACTGGCAGCCCATATATAAAGCTGTCAGTCGAGCGGCCGCTGCGATGAGCTTCTTACTTTTTTCTTCACTACAATACACTGCTCTCAGCCCTCTCAGAAGGGCCCAATGTTGTCTACATTTCCTCTGACGATACACCAGGACTTGAGGAGTGTTGTATCCATCCTTTTTCGAGCATCGAGGTGATTTGTTTCTTGAGTTCAGCGAGTTCTTCTTTGTTCATGTGCCGAAGAGGTTGCCAAACGGGTTCAGCACCTTCAGTGAGTTCGATCTTGAAATCATCTTCTCCGCGATCAGGGGGTAGACCTTCCGGTTCCTTGAAGAGCGTATTGACGTGTTTATTTAGGATATCCTTGAGATGTCCTGGATTTTTTTAAGCTCTTGTGGAGCGTCCAGTATTTCGTTAAGAGCGAGGGGACAGACTGGGTCTTTTTCAAACTTGTTCCGTCGCCAAGCCTTATTGAATTGCTTAAAAGTCATTTCTATGACTTGAGGATTGCGAAGGGCATTGGCTTGAGCAAATCGAGATATATAATGAGGTGCGGCTGGTAGAGGACGAGTATCCACAGGTTTACTGATCCGAACAGGTCGAACAGGTCTTTTGTCATAGACCGGATCTCGTTGTACATCGAAGTAAGGGTTTTGTGTTTCGGGATGTATTCGACGTCTTCCCAGTTTCTTGAAGTTCTTTCGCACTTGATGGTGACAGACTGCGGTGCGTTTGGTATAGGGCCGTAATTGGTCCAGCGAAGGGTAGGTAAGGTACTCATCGAGAATTGTTCAGCGTAATTAAAGAAACGCCAGAAAGGCTTTCCAATAATAGCGTCGTAAGCCAGATTACTGACTAGCCAGGGTAGTTGTCCAACTAAGAAAAGCGACTGAGATTTGAGATCCCATAGATCTAACTTTTCCGAAACGACTGTGTCGACAATCATGTATGATTCTTTGCCGGCCAGCCATATCTGCTTCGGTTTGATACGTTTCTTGGGAAATTTGTGCTTTTCGACGAATGTCTTATCAAGGAATAACCCAGTTGCGCCGCTATCGAAAAGAACACGAGCAAACTTGTTTCCGATGCGACAATGAGAGACCCAGAGTCCAGCAGACAGTGGTTCGAAGGCAGGTTTATTGGTAGGATCGTATGTGGTAGGCCAAGCAGAGCTACCGAGGGGCTCTATCGACCTTGGAAGAACTCGAAGCTTGATTTTAGTAGTATTCGTAGTATTCGCTGAGTTGACGGCGTCATCGAGAATTTCCGTAATGCATGACCCAGCATCAACCTGATTGGCTGAACCTTGTTGTTGATTAGGTTGGCAACTGGGCTGCGGAGTTTGAGCGCCACGACCGCGCTGTCGAAGACCACCGCGTCGCTTCTGGGTTTGCGAGCCTTGCTGTCGATTTTTCGGGATTTGACCAGCATTCAACTCTCCAATGTCCCATTTTGTTACAAAGGGGACAGGGAGTCGTTGGACGTTGACGAGGACCGTGAGTAGCTTGCCAGTGTCCACGTCAACGAAAGGGCTGTGACGTTGGTAGGAACTTGACCTGTAGTGAGACGACTCACTCCAGGGGGATAGTATGACGTACCGAGGGCATTGAGCCCAAAGGTCATATCATCTAAGTCTTGCTCAAATTCCGTAATTCGAGATTGGTGTAAGGGGCGTATCGTCCACCACGACCACGCCACAACTACCTCGACCTCAACTGGCTCCACGGCCGTCACGAGAACTTGATGCCGAGGCAATCGGACGAGGCGTATTGGCTTGGTTGCCGTCAGTGAACCCATGAGCCACATGAGCACGACGAGCTGCAGTGATAGCTTGATCGAGAGTGATAGGGGTGTTGATATTGGTAGTGCCCGAGATTTCAAAGTTCGTAACGGCTTCAGCGAGATAATGACCGATTCCTGTATTCTTGAGAAGACCAGCCTTGAAGTATCAAATCTGATCGATAAGGGGAATGGTGCCTTGAGTGTTATCGAGACGATGAGCGGCTTCGAGCTCATTATTGGTGTCTTGAAACTCCTTGATACATTTTTTGAGAGAGTCACCGAGCTTGAGACCGAGAGCTTGAGCTCAATAGTATTATGCAAGTTGCGAGGATAGAAGTGAGCGACGAGAGCCGTTTCGAAAGCTGCCCAATTTGCAGGAGGTCCAGCGGCGTAAGTCGTATTGTACCACTCGAGAGCAGTACGTTGAGTGCGTGAGTGAGTGCGTTGAGTGTCAAAAAAAAAGAACGAGGGAAAACAAGCAGTGCGTTTCACTACACATATTTATTCTCCTATAAATCTTCCACTTGGGAAGGGTTTGTTTTGTTTTGTGCAAGCTAGTAGAGCGGTTAGGTTCGGCGCCCATCTGGTAATCTCCTCCTTTTATCTTGTTTATTGCTGAGGCTTCACGCCGTTGTTTCATATTGGTACAACTGCGTCCTGTAACATCTAAAACCTTTGTTGACCATTTGTATGAACTCTTTCTTGATTTGTCCATCCAATACTTTTTTGAAATTGTCGTAGGTCAGAAGATCGACATTCTGTTTCTTATTGGTCCCCTTGCAGCTCACCTTGCTGCGCTTCTTGCTCCGTAGGAACTGCTCTTCATCTCCAACCACAAAGTACATCTTGGGTGCCAGGGCAATCAGCGCTGTCCCGGTGAACTCTATCTTGAATAGCCCCGGGTCTTCTCGTTGTATTCATCCCCATCGGCAACCAACCATAAACCCGCGTTCCTGTAGAAACTGCTCCTTGAGTTCTGGCCTCACCAGGGAATCAATGGTGTCACCGGCAAGCGCCATATACATGCTATCTGTGTCCATCTGAAGCAGCTCAGATGTAATAATGCTAGGTCCGTTGCCAGAGGCTAGCTCTGTCTCCGCTCGATGTATTGAAAGAATTCTAGAGTTTCTACCTCCTGGGGCGCCGCCCAAAGGCTTTTCTTTCCCTTCAGGAGTCACCCCAGAGCGTAGGACTCCAATATAATCTATGCTACCCGTGATCTCATGCCCTACGCGCTTCCCCGCACTAAGGTGACACCTGCAGCATCTCATTACACCCCCCTTAGAGCGAAGTGTCACATCACACATCACACACGACGTCCGCTTAGGGACACCTTTGCCTCAAACACACAAAGGGGACAGCCTAAAGAAGGCTCTCAAGCGACAGCGAGTGTGTAATGAGGTGCTGCAGTGTCACCTTAGAGCGGGAAGCGCGTAGGGCATGAGATCACGGGTAGCATAGATTATATTGGAGTCCTACGCTCTGGGGTGACTCCCGAAGGGAAGAAAAGCCTTCGGGCGGCGTCCCGGAGGTAGAAACTCTAGAATTCTTTCAATACATCGAGCGGAGACAGAGCTAGCCTCTGGCAACGGACCTAGCATTATTACATGGTAGCACCATCCTTAAAGATCTCTCCGGCAACCTACGATGAGCAACTCTCAGGCGGGTGCTAATACCGCCGTCAGCTCTGCGATAGTTAACAATGACCGCTTAAAGCTTGATCCATTTGAACACCCGCATCGAAGGGCGCAACGGCTCGACAGCGACCAACGCCAAGGCAACGGCCCCGCAGAGCGTAACCGCCCCTTGCACAGGCGCAGGGGGTCACCCCCGTGGTCGCCACCTGGAAGGAGGCACTCCAGCTCACGCTCACCTTGTCGACGTCGAAGCCCGGACCCTCGACGCCAGAATCGGACGCCAGAGCGATACAGGCGCGGACGACGAGTCGCAGGAGCATCTCCCCCCCCGTCGAAGGAGCCGCTGAGTAAGCCGCTACCGCAGCCGCTCCCCGGCGAGGACCCGAAGCCGCTCCCCCATGCGGCGCACGAGCCGTACCCCAGCCCGACAAGAGAACGGACAGGCAACAATCCTCCAAATCCTAGCCCAGCTGGCCAACACCAACGCCCAACTCCAGCAGCAATTCGAGCGCCTGGAGAGGGACTGCCCAGATGACAGCCCCTTCGCTGGAGTACGGGTTAGCCGCGAGGACCATTTGGCGGCTAGCGAAGAGCGTAAGCGCAAGGCGGCCACCGAGAAGGAGTTCCGAACCACCTTGGCTAAGATGCTGACCAAGTTTGACGGTAAGGCTAATGGTAAAGACATGGTCGCCAAACTGGACGAGTTCGTCGACGCCCACCTACGCTATCTGGAAGTTACCGAATTCAGAACAGAGGACGGGGATGTGAAACACTTCGTAGCCCACTTGTTGGGAGACGCCGCTGAGTGGTGGAAGCTCGAGGCTCGCTCCGGAGAGCCTTCCGCCACCCAGGAACGGTTCCTGAAGGCACTCAGGCGCAGGTTCTACCCCACCGCCAACCTCCGTAATTCGGTCGAGGCGAAACTGGCCGCCCTGAAGTTCAAAGACAGCATGTCCGACTACGTTCCGGCCTTCAACGTACTGACCACACAGATCGTTATCCTCCCCAAAAAGGAACATCTCATCTCACTCCGCGACAGGAACGTGAGTACTTCCTGAACGGGCTGACCTTCCACCAGGTCGGACGTCGCATCCGTGAGCAGTGCTACCAGTTCATCCTACAACAGGGCAATGAGGACGAAGACATCCCCATCAAGACCCTTCAGGGAGCCGCCCAGAGGGCCTTCCGCATCGGGGGTTATGCCGACGGGATTGCCCACATTTCGGAGACGGCAAACGGGTCCAACCCGGAACGGCCACTCCGGCCAGGCTTGCGACAAGCGCGA